TTTAATAAATTTTGTACTATAAAATGTATTTCAATAATTTTACAAATCGACAATTTTCGAATTAATGGACAATTTGGTAATATAAAAATGGTACATCAGTGCGACGGTAAAATGTTCTAATATTTAATAAATTTTGTACTATAAAATCTTCCTTGGAATAACAGAACTTTGTATTTCAATAATTTTATAAATCGACAGTTTTGCAATTATTAATGGACAATTTGGTAATTTAAAAATGGTTCATCGATGCAACAGAAAAATGTTCTGACATCTAAATTTTGTTCTAATATCTAATATAAAATCTTCCTTGAAATAACATATATATAGAAAACATTTTGTATTTTATTATTATAATTTTATTATTATAATTCTATAAATGGACACACGCACGTGTATCCGTGAGTACACTAACTGTCAGTGTGTTGATAAACCTTTACCTTTACGTCCGCTAATCACTATGATCTATCCTTGAACTTGTCTGTTACTCGTCCCCGTCAATTTCCTCGTTTCAATCGCCTGGCAAACTTTTTTACGTGAAATTGCTCAACCTTGAACCATGCACGTAACTATCTCTTTACATAAAACCGGTTATTTCGAGCGAGGGTCACACAGCGAATCGATTACCATTCTCTACACGCTCTTCTTTGCTAATAAGACGCACGCAAACACGGTTTCGACAAATCAGGTCACAATTTGCCGGGAACTGTGATTTCTTCACTGCAATTGACTTTAACACACATTTGTTGCTTCGCACACATTTTGTTTCGAAGAAAAGAACGAAATTAGTAGGTCGAAAACACAAAACACAGACGTTCCAGTTCCTTCGGTTCCTTGTTCAATGATAATGACTGAACATCGAATCTGAGGAGAATCTTTGTAAAAGACGGAGAGATGCGTTGCTTTCAACACGTTGAATTTGCATTGGTTCAAAGTCTCGTTGGTTCTCAACGCGGCGACTCTTTGACGATTTGGATAAGGAACAACAACTGAGACAGTGGCAGCCGGTCTGTTCGCATAAGTAAATATACAATCGCGAATGACACTTTCGAGGCAGCTTCTCCCACTTTCGAGCCGATCCTTGCCAGGTATTTGACGTTTCCCGCCAGCGACGTTTCTCGCCAAAACTCGATAAATTTACAGTTACTCGTGTCAACCTTTCGTGAATTAAACACGCAAATATATATATAGGGTGGTCCGAAAGTTTCTTCCCACTTATTTTTAATAAAACATCGAAATATAATGGAAGAACTAATTTTATTAACTTTAAATTAATTTTTTTAATAATTTCATCACAATCACAAAAAGACTTTTATTTAAAATGAGAGAGATGAAACAAAAAACAATGATCGTGACCCGATTGTATTTATAATACAATACGAACAATCGTTTACAAACGAAGAATATGATTATTCATCCTGTGAATGTCGTGGAATAACAAATTACAAAAGATTAAACTATCCTTCCTGCCGGCTTGTAATGCTGAGTGTAAAGTTACGTAATTTTTCGAACGCGATACCGTTTTAATTACCGCGGTAAAATTCCAGAGGCGATTTTTAATTAAACGTATCGCACGCGTTTCATTATAAAACGCCAGTTTGCTGAGTTTGCCATTTCGAAGAACACAACAAATGCCAACAGATATCAGCCTTAATCTTCGTTTAATATATTTCGATCAATTTACACAACAGATTGCAAACAATTTATTCGCACAGGCATCTCGTTTCAACCGATTACCTTCCCTTTGATATTTTATTTACAATTATTATTACATCCGCTTTGAATTTAAGGAGAACAATATTATACAATACAATGCATACATGAACTATATCCATCATTGTAATGTTTACTGGCTTATATTGAGGTTTCAAAATTATTATAATATTACTTATTATTTGTTTTTGCATTTCGTGATATTAGATTTCTATCCCTATAAACTGTTTCAACGATCGTTACGTCGTCAAGAGTAAGCAAGACATTTAAAGCTATCACATTTTTAGCAGAACGTTCTGCAAATGCATTTATACTTTTTAACTCGAGTATGCTTTTTTTCTTTATATTTAACTTGATTCAACTACTTCTTACTACATCAGAAACCTTTATTAATTAATTCTGATGAAAATGTGTAAGACATTAGCGTTGATTGATAGTAAGTACTGTGTCAGGATTAGACTTTGAGCTGGCTAACTGGCGGCCCGCAAGCACTATCCCCTCCACTGCATGACGAGGAAATTTCAATA